AGAATGCCTAGGTATTTTATGCAATGCGTAGGGAAAGTATGTAATAATTCTCACATTTCATACTTTGCCGGTAACATTATATATATATATATATATATATAAAACTGGAAGTGGAAAAAAAAAGAAAAAAATTCCGAAAAACAGGACATACTTTTTTTTAAAAAAACGGAAAATAAAAGATATAATCTTTTTATCAGCTCACACGATTATATCTGCAAAAAAGAGTGCTTTCTAATATTGTGTCAATAAAGCCAAAGCAAAATATATCAATACAATAGTGTGAGGAGCACTCAAAAAAATTTTTTACAAATAAATTACAACAAATATGATAGTACACGATAAGTAAAAAACTAAAAAAATAACACGCAAAAACAGAAAATAAAATATAAAGAAAAAACAGAATAAAACATAATCTATAAAGCGAGTAGCGAATTCAAATGAAATTACATGAACGGGAAAATTTTCAAGAATGTTTTAAAATATATTCGTAGCAAAATTGCAAAAATTGAGGTAAAAGCGTAACTAGAGGAGTTTTGTATTAAAGTGCGTTCTTACTGCACTACTGAAGTGCATTTGATTTGTTAGTTACCAAGGATGGGCCCGAAATGGATGCGCGCAAGGTAATATTATACTGGATAATTTAAAGAAGTTAACTATAAATAATTTTAGAAAATAAATATTTATTTAAGAAAAAAATATATAAAATAGAAAGAAACACGATTGCCTGTTTTGCACATAATTTTAGCCACGGATTTGCCCGAAATGGATTTGCACATGGAAAAATTATATAAATTAACAAAATTATTTACTGCATATAGTCGCCATAGTTGCTATTGCTTAAAAATAGTCGATTTATTCGTTAATGGCAGTCCTGCATAATATATAAATACATTTATAGTTAATACATATATAACATTAAAATATTTTTAAAAAAAACAGGGTGCGTAAGCAAATTATTCAACAAAAAATAAGCACCTTTTAAGCACTTTTCAAGAACTCAAAAAATGTTTTTAAGCACTTTTTAAAAAAATATCATTATCAGGCAGGGTTGGAAAGTTTTTGACAATTGACGGTTTTGTCTTATCTTAACCGTCATGTCAACAAAAAAAATTGGATTGTTTTTGACAATTGTCAAAAATTATGAAATTTTGAATCATGTAAAACGAATGGCTTTTCATTCGCTACGGACTGACAACACGCCGAAATAGATTGGAGTTGAATTAATTGTGAAAACGTTGAATCGAACGATGTGAACTGCGTCTTTTCGCATAATTCCTAGCGAAAATCAACATAGTAAAGAAAAATCTCATTTTGAAAAAGGGAAAATTAAGCACTTTTCAAAAACACCCAATGAAAAAAGCACCTGTAAGGGCTTTTAAAAATCGAAAATAAGCACCTTTTAAAAACGCTACACACCCTGTAAAATAGTCACCATAGTTACTATTGCTTTAAAATAGTCGATTAAGTCGCCTTTTTAGTAGCCAATGGCAGCCCTGCATAATATATAAATACATTTATAGTTAATACATATATAACATTAAAATTTTAAAAAAAATCTTATTTAGTCCCCATATGTAGGCCCTCGATATAACAATATATCCCTCTACAGCAATAGATTTATTTGGTCCCCAAAATATTGTTGCAGCAAGGTGTATAATAAGAGGATGGAACAGTTAAAAAACAAGTTAATAAACAATCAATTAAAAAACAATATATGAAAAAGTTTTTTAAAAAAAAGAGTCACCAGCAAATTGTGAAGTCATATAAATAAAAGTAAGAGGCAAAATTTAACTGACCAGCAGTGCTTTATTAATAAGTCGTCAAGAGACGCTCTTTTATAAAAAAATTCTATACACTAAAACAGTGGTCCACAGAATACAAAAATACATCCAAAACAGGCACTTGCATCATCACACAATTTAGGAAATAGCATAGTAAAATACAGCAAGTAAAGTTCACTTACAAAATCCATATATTGTAAATAACAAAAAATATATCTATCTATAATTATGACTGTTTAAATTTGAAAAAGATTAATGGGAATTGCTTCAAAAAAAAAACATGCATCGCTGAAATTTATAATTGATAACACAATTCGTTAATATTTCTTAAGAGTTTGATTAAAATTAATTACAGACTTAGGTAGTTTTTATAAGAAATGGTGAACTAGTTGGTAAATAGAAAATACTGCAAAAAACTTTTAAATATCATACATTTGAGGAATTTACTTAAACTTTTAAACAAAATACAAGTCTTATTTACAAGATTTAATTTGAAAAACAATACATTTTTTCATAACATTATAAAAGCTATTTAACTCTAGATAGTTTTTTTCAACTATATTGATAAATTTTGATAAAACAAGATTTTTACGCAGTAACATGCCAATATATACATTATAGTTAATTATAGGTATTTCACATCTATATTACAAAAATAAAAAAAAAAGCAAAATTTTCTAATATTTAAAATGCTGATGCAAACTAAGTAAAAATAAGATTCTTAAAAAATATATAGCAAATTCCAAAGTATATTAGAAATCGAAAAACAAATTCTTTTATTTTTATAATTTAATTAATTAAAAAAAAATCCTTACCAAATTGGCAGAGACATTTTTAAATTCACCACAAAATAACAACACATCACAGATAAAAAAAACAAATAGTATTTACATTAATAAATTAGCATTGCTAAATACCTACTATGTGTATTAATAATACAAAAATTTCCACTAAATAAGAAACTGAGCTTAATGATTTGAAGTAAACTTAGATCCAATAAATATAGAATTGTATCAATCATATTTATGTAGTTCAGTGCTATGCTATATGACAGTAATGATTCAATAATAAGCTGAATATAGACTGATTAATATATAGATACATTTTAGAAAATTACATTTTAGTAACTTAAATCCAATATAGAATTGTATCAATCATATTTGTGTAGTGCAGTGCTATGTTATATGACAGTAATGATTCAATAATAAGCTGAATATAGACTGATTAACATGTAGATACATTTTAGAAAATTACATTGTAGTAACTTAAATCCAATATAGAATTGTATCAATCATATTTGTGTAGTTGAAAAATCAACTATGTTATATGACAGTAATGATTCAATAATAAGCTGAATATAGACTGATAAATATGTCGATACATTTTAGAAAATTACATTTTAGTAACTTAGATCCAATATAGAATTGTATCGATCATATTTGTGTAGTTCAGAACAATGTTATATGATAGTAATAATTCAATAATGAGCTAAATATAGACTGATTAAAATGTAGATTTATTTAGAAAATTTACAAATACTTATAACAATTGAGAAAATTTATGAATTCTAAGAGCATCTGTGAATCTTTTTCAATAGTAATTTGGTTCTAAAGTATATGGTTTGTATTGTTGAGTATATGGGTTGTATAAGGTTATTAAATTTTCACAGCTAAGCACAAAAGGAGTTACATGTTAACAAACATTTCTGTTTTTTAAACATTTATAAAAATTAGCTTCCAAAATAAAGCAACATGCATTACAGCTGTAGATTTAAATAAAATAAAAATACGGAAATTCAGATTTAGCTAACTATATAATAAAATATAGTAACAGGGTTGCTACTCAAATCTGGAGGGAAAAAATCCCCGAGTTTTCCCTATACATATTAAGATGATATTTTAAGAGGAAACACAACAATTGCTGTGCTCTTGTACAAGCTGTATTGGGCTAACTAAATTTGTCAGTTTTAACTGTGCTGGAAAAAGTTAGAGAAAAAAAAAATAGCTGAACATACTTAAATAATGCTGTAATAAATTAAATAGTTTAGTATAGCTGAAATATCATGCTTAAAAATCTCACAGATCTTTGAGTGGTCACCATTTTTTAAAAGACGAAAATAAGAAAACAAAATTCCCTGCATTTTCCTAGTTCGTAAAGAAAAGACTCAAAATTCCCTGCATTTTCCCTGTTATTTTAGGTGATTTTCAAATTCTCTATATTTTCCAGGTTTTCCCTGTGGAGTGGCAACCCTGAGTAAGTAGCGATTGATAACAAATATTTTTGAGGCATTTTAAGAGATTTAATGATCTTTAAATTAATAAAAATCATAAGAAAATTTACAATTTTATCAATTTATAAACACTTATGAGAAATGTTAAGACTAAGAAAAATACTTTGATGAACCTAAGCTTAACTCAGCAACTTAAAAGGAACATTGTTTATTTCTTTCTTACAAAGTAAAACCAACCTATATATCAAATTTACAAATCTCTGAAGTGCCATCAGAAAATAAAATAAGTAAACTCAATGATAATTTATACAATTACCCTTTCCAAATTATTAGACGCACTATAAGATTCTGTGTAAAATCTTAATTATCAGGTGATACTATACAACTTTATTCTTTTTACCCGACTGAAACCGGTTTGCACTTGTTTACGTTGGAATATTAATGGGATAAATTCGACGATAAATTATACAAATATAGAATATTTATTATATCAGGTATTATATTAGTATATTATAATAATTACATCAAATTATTATAAGCACTGTTGTTTTTTAATAATTACATGTTTTGCACGAGTTTATGCGCAATATTTTAATATTTACACATACATGTAATGGGTTTTTATTCAGGAGATTTTTTATATACTTCCCATTTGTATTTATTTTTAACGAATTGCATTACAATGTTAACCAATTAATACACGAGCATAAACACGTGCAAACAAAAAACAATAAAGCTGTATAGTATCACCTGACAATTAAGATTTTATACAGAATATTTTGTGTGTGTAATAATTAGGCCGGGGACTGTAAATACTTTTACTCCTAAATACGTAATAAGCTCAAGTTTTAACTGTGATCAGTATAATCATTATATTAAAAAAAAATACCAAACACTTATAATACAAGCAATTATGTAAGGTTTAAATGCATACTTCAATCTTCATTTTCCGAACGATTCAGAAGGCATTTGTAAACAGCGTGTTTATTAAATTATCTTCGAGTAGTACTTCTTTGAATTTCATGTGAATGGTGGGCAAATATAAGCTCAGTTGAGTTAATAGTGGCATTCGAGTCATTATCTGCACTGCCCAGATTCAAGTCCACATTTTCAAAGTCCACAGCACAGGTGTTGTTCAATTCCTCTTCACGCTGTTTTTCCAATTGTTTTGCGATCATGCGAGATGTTGCTGTGGAATAAGAGGGTGGGGGTGTGTACTTGGGGGGAGGATCATCTAAAAATGCACTATTTGTCGAACCTTGGCTAAAAGAACTGGAATCGATGGAACTCCGAGAGCTGACGGGAGGCAAAGGCACCACAGGGCAGCACAAAAGTTTAAGTTTCTGGAGAGAAATTTAGTATAATTAATGTACAGTCTGCAAAATAAAAACTTTTGATCTAATGATCAGATTTTTATATTAAAGAGGAAGTTCAAGGGCTAAATTTAAATACACTGTTGTAAGAAATTAAGAGAATTTGCAGACTTGGTCGATCATCTCTAGAACTGCTGGACCGATTTCAATGAAATCTGATATGTGCATACATTGATACAATACAAAACAAATAACCATTCAACAATTGTAATACACATGCATGATTGTGAGTAACACTCGTTGGAGTCGGAAGGTATGAAATTGCCACAGGACAATTGCCGCAGGAAATGATAAACTGCCTTATTTCAAGTATGAAATCACGCTTCAAGGCCTGTATATCTGTAAGAGGGGACCATACCCCCTATTAAACAATTTTTTTTTGTTTCTTCTGCAACTGCTGTTTCATGTTTCACCATTTTATTTTATTTTATAATCGTTATTGAACAGCTGAACCATTTTTATGTTTACGACTACCCATGTTCAACTCTGTAGCCTTGTAATTTTGTACCCAATCCAGAAGACAATGGAAGACTCCTGGATCAAGTATTGGGAGAAATTTGCCTTCGTGGAAGACTTTTTGATGGAACTAACCTGCCTTTGCGTTACATGGAGGAGAAGACCACAAGAACTTCCCAAGGTTAGCCTCACGGCAAAGGGACTCCAACCCATGATCCGTCTACCACTGAGGATATTTCACGTCAGCACTGTGGTCGGGGCAAGCCGGATGGGGAATTCGTACAGACCAGCCATTGCTGGGATTTGAACCCGGTTCACGTAATTGGAAGGCAAATGCTCAATCCCCCGAGCCATCGCGGCTATGGATCAAGTATCGGGAAAAACGTGCCTTCGTCAAGTGTTTTTTTATGGAACTAACTCATATCTGTGTTACATGGAAAACGCGAACATAAAACGGGGATATATTAGCAAATATATATTTTAAAGTGGTAGTTTATCAATTGTGATTCTTGGTTTATTACATTCAATTTAATAGATTTTTATCCACCACTATTTCCAAATATTTTGTAGGCTTGTAAAATTCTTTATAGTAATGTCATGCTATACCATTTAAAAAGCAAGCAAAAATAGTCAAACATTTGCAAAATTCAGTTTGTAGTTATTGACCGTTTTTTTTAAAAATTATTTTGGCGTGTCCGCAGTCGTTGGCATCTCTGTCAACATTCCGCTGCGAGTTGTTGTTTACAGTGCAATCAAAGATCATTTCTATATAAAGAAATGATGCGTCAAGGGGTTAATCGCCATTTGTTACATTTAGTTGCTCAGCGGATGGCGGCAAATATTCATTCCACCCTATATTAAAAAAAAAATAAATAAATAATGAGATTGTTTACAAACAAAATCTTACCTCAAGAAAAGTTTGTTCCCTTTTGGAAGTGAAAACTTTGTACGTCTGGTAAATGCATACAGTGATGATGAGAATGAGCGGGAAAACTTGCAAACACAGGTTTAAAGTTTTGGCCCACGGCTGCCAGTATCTGTAATTCTCCATCAATTCTCCCATCGTAGATGTAGGGTCTAAAGAGCTTGTTCTCAAAAATGATATCGTCAACAGCTAAAACAAAAAAAACAAAAAAAAATTTTTAAATTTTAGTTTCACAAAAGAAATTGTTGTATCAGCACATTTCAGAAGACTAATTCCTGATTATGAAAAACAAATATACTGAAAAACATAGATAATATAGACGCACGTCGTGCGCAGATGATGATCCTCCTATTTTGCAAATACTTTTTTAATATTTATTGTAATATAAGAAAAAGTATCTGTAAGTGCAAAAAAGTTTGCAGTGTGTGGGGGGGTGGGGGGGGGAGGAATATGAATCAGACAGCGTAATCAAGATTTATGCAAGGTAGAAGAAAGTCTGCGTTTAGCTATATGCATGCTGCTCCCAAAGAGAAAAGATATAACTGCCAGTTTAGTCCAAAGATTAGCGATTCCATAGTTAGTGGTCGAGCCAACAACCAGTTGATTTTTATTACATTAATTTCACAGTTTCTGTAGATAATTTCTAATTAAGGAATTTCACCTAGACATCCAAATACCATAGTAAACTACTGTGTTGGGATTTTTTTTAAAATGTAAAATAAGGGCAGAAAAATATGCCTGAAATGCAACATTTATGTCCCTAGAAGAGAACCTTAATATAACTCAGAGCCTACATAACTACCTAACTCGAAAATTGGATTGAAAGTTGAAAACATGCATATTAATTCATGTAAATTAAGGGTTTCATGGAGATTAAGTAAGAGCTCATTTTACAACTCCTATATATTTTCTACTGTTACTTAATGTTAGAACTATTTGTAAAATGTTTTTTTAAAAAAAAGAAAATTTGCATTTTTTATCCTCTTTTCCTTAAACAAAAAATTATTTTTAAGGAGATCAAAATATTTTTAAATTTGCTGAAAAAATATTGAGTTAAAATGTGACTGCAGTAACAACTTTTTATAAATTTTAAATTTAAAAATAAAATAAAAAATATTTGTGATACACTCTATTTGTATATATATTTGCATGTTATGGTTTATGAACTTGGTGAGAATTAGATAACTTATAAATTCTGATCAAACTACTAAAACTTAAAGCAATGAAATTACTTTCTTTGGAGAAAAATAAATTTAGGTTTATGATGTTCTAAAACTTGATTCCAATGCATGGTGAATAAGGATTTCTCTATAAAACAGCAATAACAAAAAATTTATATGTTTCAAGTTTGGTTAAAAGTATTTTTATTAATTAAAATTAAACATGTATATTTAAACAGAAACATCTTTCGCACTTACTATGAATCGATTATTAAAACTTACTGAATGAAATGAATGAACTAAGAAGTTGAATAAAACTTACTAAAAATGACAAAGGAAGAACAACATTCCACATAAATGTAAAAAATGGCAATATTTTAGAACGTCTTATAGGATTTCGACTTATGACATTGACTAGTTGATCTGTACCATACGGTCGGCCTAGACCAAAAAAAATAACAACAATAGTTTAAAATTAGTGAACAAGAATATTAGAGAACTGCTAATATTTGAAAATTATAAACATTTATAATTTTGAAATATTAGCGAGACATATATGCACAGTTCTGACTATTGAAAATATTCACAATTTATAAAGCGATTGTAATGCTTATGACTTTTTCTCAAGATTTATAGAATATAGAATAATATTCATAACTTCTTAAAAGAAATATATGAAAATTGGCTTCAATATTTTGTAGAACATAAAATCTGTAAAATACTTTCACTTTGAAATTCAAATATGTTAATATTAAAGACTTATCTTCTTAAAAAGAAAATATTAGTAATTTGTAAACTAACTATTATAAAAATATTACAGTTTTGGAATTATTTGTTATTTTACTAGTAAGTTTTTGAATTCAACTTTTAAAGTAAGATATAATTTAAAAGCCAACATAAATAAATGCTGTGAGAAAAAATTTAAATATTTCTTGCAAAAAAACAGTTAATCAACAATATAACTTTAATATTGTTAAATAGTTTTAACAGTTAAAAGTATTTAGAATATAACTATGAAAAAATAATAAAAAGTAATAATTGTCTTAAATAATTAACACCATATTACTTTAAACATAAACACCTTGAGTGCCAAGCGTATTCCTCGACAGGCCTCACATGGTGATTAGAAACTCGTGTTCTGTGGTATAGCAATGCGAAACGCACTACTAACAAATTGAAATAAATAAAAATTAAGTAAATTTTGATATAAACTTTCAATAATTACTAAAACAAACTCAATTTTTTAGTTTCGTAACATATTTTATGTTGTCAGTTACCAGTAACTAACTGAAATAATAACACCTAAACGGCAAGTTCAGTGTGACTGATGCAGAACTCAAGGTGTTAAATTAACGTATTCATGAAAATTTGTGAACAAAAAATTTCCAAACCTCTTATGATTATTTTCTTTTCCTAAACTCAAAACTTTGTAAACTCAAATGAAGAGAAAGATTAAACACTTTTACGCATGCATACATTTATTAGTAAGACAACGCAAGGAACTAAAATTGAAATTCAGATTTAAAAAATTACAATAGGCATTTGTATTAAAGTAATTACAATTTAAATGGATCACTTAATAACATAATAAAGAATGAACTTCTAAATTATTAATCCAATTCAAACTTATTACAAAGTGAAGTGAAAAATTTTATCGGACTTTTCTGAATTCCATGGGTGGCAACCTATAACTATGCTTTTCCATAATTTAGGAGCAATTTCTCCATAGTAACAGTGATAGTTTTATGAAACATTTAAGTTGAATAAAGAAATTTCTTAACAATAACAATTTACATCAGCATAGATAAGATTGCACAAAACTAAATCACTGATAAAACAATTAGATTACATTTTAAGAAGTAAGTCACAAAAAAAAAATCTCCCACTTATCCAGATTATTTTATCTATTTCCTTGATTTTTGAACTGAATGCATGAATTCTGTCATTCAATTTTTCAATTGTTCATACCTTATCCTTATACATAAAATATGTTACAAAACATTCACTTGATATTAAAATTTTTAAAAAAAATCATTTTTCAATTATTACAAAATATTGTTTCGGTAGTTAATTTTCGTTGACATTTTCATAATTTTTACCAGATTTATAAAATACCCAGACTTTTTTCTGTTCTATGGCAAACCTGAATTATGTTTTTGCGCACTTAAAAAGTAAGGGTTGGTCCATCAATTTCAAATACATTCCTAAAAAGTCATTCACAAATTTAAAAACGTTGTTTAAGAGCACAATTAAGTTTACAAAAATGCATTTTCTTTTTCTAAAGTTAAAAAAAAAAAAAAAAACTCTGCAATTCCAAAGTGAAAATTAAAATCTCTATAAATTATAAGAATTCTTTACTATTCTTCATCTCTTGATTTCCTTGGGAGGAAATAATGTTTTAATATTAATTTCATTAAGAATTAAAAAGGTTTTATTTTTATGGCTAAAAACAGTTTAATGTACAACAATACAACACTCACACATAATTTATATATATATACATATAAATTGCTGACTATTTTAATAAAATTTCTTTTTTCTTCAACAAGATTTCAGCTACAGTTAAAAGTGATTGCATTTAGTTAACATACACACTTTAGTTAGTTATTCATACATAAGTACTAATAAAAGAAAATCAAATATTACCTCTAATAAATAAAATGGCAAATAACATTATGAAGTATATTAAAGCAATCCACCACAATGAGCTAACACAGAAGTCCAAGTAATACACAATATAGATTCCCATCTACATACAAAGAGATATACATTATTAAATAAATATTAATAAGCAAAGCATTCTTAGTAAAGCATTGAAAAAAATACTGTGTCTTAAACTACTGAAAATCATTAAAGCTTTATGAGAAATTTTCTTTTCATTATTTTAACTGATAAGTTTGATTCCCTCCTACCCTATGAGTGTCTCCAAAAATAAAATATTTGAAAACAGATGAGGTTTATTGTAGACTAAGTTGCCAATATTAAACACACAGTAAGTTTTAAAAATACACATCAAAATGGTTTTCAGATTGTTTAAAAATAACTGCTACTATTTCTTTTGCCAAATGTATTTCATTCCTCTCTGAATTCATTAACACTGTACAACGCAGTAAAAAAAGGAAAAAAAGCCCTAAATAACTTTTGATTGAACAATCAGATTTTTATGTGCTAGAACTCAAACTTAATAGTTCACGGGGATCACCTCAAACATGTTACTTATTTAGGGCAATTATATTTCAAATTATGAAATCAAACACAAAAACATATTTTCTCTGAATAAACATATCTTTTTTTCCGAGGATTTGGATTATTAACCGTCTCAAAATGAGGGCTAAATATGGTTAGAATAGTTTGGTCAGGAGAACGGTCAAGACTGTGGACCCTTAACAGTTAATTATACATTTTGCTTATTTCTCCATATCTTGAGGACTTTTTAAGCGAATTGAGAAGAATTGTACACCATTTTTTATCCAAAGATGATTTCCATGCAAAAAATTATTTTTATAATAATTTATTATTTATTTAATAATAATTGAAAACATTTTGGATTGTAAGGCATACTAATTTTTGTCATTTGTCAAGGAATGTAATTTTAAGTGACAAAATGTAAAATTTGAACAAAACTAGTTGAATTGTTTCTGAGAAATCGAATTTTACAAAAACCACTTTCTTAAAATTGGATTACTTAGGAATTATTTACATTCAGGAAAATACGTTTTTGTGCCTGATTTTATAACTCAAAATATTGTCTGCACTAATTATCATATTTGCGATAACCCCCTCGAATCTAGTATGTGAAACTTTGATTATTAGATCAAAAGGTATTCAGGGTATTTTTTTGTACTCTGTGCAAGTATTTCATGGCTTAAAAGTTAATATCCATCAATACAAAATCACTATCAATCCATCAGATATTTACTACTCTAAGAAACCAAGCACTCAAAATATCTGATTTTTTTGAAGAAAAATTTTTTTATATTTTTCATAGAAAAACAAAGAAAAGCTTTTCATTTTTTATTTCAGGTTTTAATTTTTTCCCTCTGGTTTCTGGGAAAAAATTCCTTTTCCCCCTGAGATTTCACTGAATTTTTTTAAAGTTAATTTAAAATTCCACAAGATTTCCAGGTTGAGACATATGTTAAATAAATAAAAAAACATTTTGTAACATTACATATTTAAATGACAAGTGTAACTGAACTTAAAATACTAATCACTTACATTAGATGTTATAGGCAGTCCCAAGAGAAACGCCAGGTTACAGGCTATAAATGTCAATGTGGTATGCCAAGCCTTTAAAACCTTGTAATTCACAGCTACAATAGACTCAACTACGCAATACCACATGACAACCTGAAAGACAATATAAATTTATACTACTGAAATTTATATACATACATGTGCATGAAATACACAAGTGTGCAATATGCGAAACAGATGTGTGACATGCAAATTTGTCACCATTCTGGAAGATTTTATTATAATAAAGACTTAGATGTTAGATATACAAAGAAAGTCAAGTAGAAGGTAAAACAAGGCAAAAACTAGTTTCATAATTTCAAAAAACCGCTAAATTTAAAGAAATATATACTGGTATGTATACTAATCAATATAGAGTTTTATAAAAATTAAAACATTTATCAAAAACTTAGTGATTTTTTTAAAAACAAATTTTGTAAAAATTAAGCAGCGAAGATAGGGTTGAAAATATGTACAAGTGTCAATAAATTGCTTGCAAAAAGTTTATTAATTGAAACTTTGGGTTGGTAGAAAGTTTTTCATTTTATCAGTCTGTGTATGCACTGGAACAACATGAATGAGAATCTCTAGATAACTCCAAGTAATTTGGTCAGAAAGAATCTGCTCTAACATTTATTTATTTATTTTTTTATTTTACAAAAATTCTGTAAGCCAATTTTTATTTTTAACAATTTAAAGAAACTTCTGTATCACAAATATTAAATATATTTATCTACCCAATAGCAGTTACCTTTCAGCATGGCCGTGGCGGTTATTTTAACACATAAAAAATGGCTGTTAATTNATTCAATTCAATTCAATTCAATTCGCCTTCCAAGAGCGCGACATCTTTAAATACATCAAAATCCAAAGAATTAGATGCGCTGGTTATGTTATTAGAAGGAACAAAGAACGTCCAACACAGAAAATATTCTTGGACAGACCCTTTGGAACAAAAATTAGGGGCAATATATCGACCACAGTTGGACCATTTGCGGTGATTTGAAAGTTATCTCCATGCTTCTTGGTTAACAAGGGGGATTTATAAAGTACCCATGTTTAATTTGTGAGGGGGACAGCCGTGACAAGACTCAACATTGGGTCAAAAAAGAATGGCCGACGAGACAAACTCTTGACCCAGGCACCAAGAACGTTATTCGAAACAGCTTAGTTGATCCGAAAAAAGTATTGTTACTTCCGCTACATATAAAATTAGGTGTAATGAAACAGCCTGTCAAGGCTGTTCCAAAAGATGGCAATTGCTTGAAATGCCTGCGCAAAAAGTTTCCAGGTTTATCCCAAGCTAAGTCGAAAGAAGGAATATTTGTTGGTCCAGATATCCGCAAACTCATGAAGGATAAATAATTTGAGACTAACATGACAGAAACGGAAAAAGAAGCCTGGGTTGCTTTCAAAGATGTTGTCAGTAAATTTCTGGGTAATTACAAGGATCCTGATTATAAGGAAATCGTAATGAAAATGCTGGACGAATTTAAAACGTTGGGTTGCCCCATGAGTGCAAAAATGCATTTCCTTCACTCACATGTGGACTTTTTCCCTGAAAATTTAGGAGCAGTTAGCGAAGAACAAGGGAAAAGGTTCCATCAAGATATCAGAGATATTTATCGTAAATATCAAGGAAGATGGGACAAGAACATGTTCACTGACTACTGTTGGATGATAGCTCGAGATAAATCTGAGATTAAGCATGAAAGAAGATCATCAAAAATAAGTTTCAGAGGAAAACGAGTATATACTTAAATAGAAACTTTTCTCTTTTGTTTTTTGCTTGTTTTATTTTTTGTTTCAAACTTTCATATACACATACACAATATTTGTTATTCTTGGTTAATCGTCAATTTTACGTAAGTTATCTCAATAAAAAGAAATTAAAATGGTATGTTGGTGATTTTCTTCTAGAAACTGATGCAAAAAGTTTGAACACAAAGAACTTATTGTTTTTTTCTTGACCAGAGGTGACTTCCGCTGTCTGGTAACAGTATTTTTTATTCATTTTAACCTATAAAAAATCAGTTGATAGCTCAAAAATCAATTTTCTTTCACAAGATTAAATTTTACATAGATCAAAATGAATGAAAAGAACAGTTACCGGATAGTACATGCAAAATTATTTGAGAGAATTCCTTTCCAAATAGGATTTTAGTAAAAACATTAATATCGATTTTATAAAAAATCTTGATGTGATTGTGGGAAATAAAGGTCATTTTCAAAATCAGCACATCAAATAACATATAAATCAACAATAACTTCTCTTGTATTTTTCAAAAAGTTCAATTTCGCAGGCTTGTGTTATTAGATCAAAAGGTATTCAGGGTATTTTTTTCTACTCAGTGCAAGTATTTCATGGCTTAAAACTTAATATCCATCAATACAAAATTACTATCAATCCATCAGATATTTACTACTCTAAGCAACCAAACACTCAAAATATCTGATTTTTTTGAAGAAAATTTTTTTTATATTTTTCATAGAAAAACAAAGAAAAGCTTTTCATTTTTTTTCTTTCATGTTTTAATTTTTCCCTCTGGTTTCTGGAAAAAAATTCCATTTCCCCCCTGAGATTTCACTGAACTTTTTTAAAGCTAATTTAAAATTCCACAAGATTACCTAGGTTGAGACGTATGTTATGTAAATAAAAAACATTTTGTAAAATTACATATTTAAATGACAAGTGTAACTGAATTTAAAACACTAATCACTTACATTAGATGTTATAGGCAGTCCCAAGAGAAATGCCAGGTTACAGGCTATAAATGTCAATGTGGTATGCCAATTCTTTAAAACCTTGTAATTCACAGCTACAATAGACTCAACTACGCAATACCACATGACAACCTGAAAGACAATATAAAACATATAAATTTATACCACCGAAATTGAATACATATATGTGCATAATAAACGCAAATTTATCACCATTCTGAAAGATTTTATTACAATAAAAAGTTACTTAGATATTAGATATACAAAGAAAGTCAAGTAGAGGGTAAAACAAGGTAGAAACTAGTTTCATATTTTCAAAAAAACTCTTAAATTTAAAGAAATATACACTGGTATGTATAATATAAAGAAATATATGTTGGTATGTTGGCACACCTGTGCATAATATTCACAAATGTCATGGTGCATAGTCAAATCTTTCACCAAAAAATAAGCACCTTTCAAGTACTTTTCAAGCACTCAAAAAAGATTTTTAAGCACTATATACATTAACAAAATGCAAAATAATTTTCAAAGACTTTACATGATCATGATAAAATAACTAGTTTCTGACAAAGAACTCTTTTTCTTGATTATATTAACCATTTAAAATGCTCAAAAGATTTTTCAGTTCGATGTCAGAGGGTGAAAAATGAAGCCTGAAATAGAGAATATCTTGCAAAATGCAGCAGAGTTGCATGCAAGAGTGCAATAATTTCACCAAACCCAGCTAAGTAGACAGCATGCAGACTCACAAATATTTCATCAAACATGTAAAATGATTGGTGCTTTCATACGTTATGGACCGACGGTACGCCGAAATAGATGATGGTTCAATGAATTGTGAAAATGCTGCCAAGAACAATGTGAAAAGAACGCTTTTGCATCGACATGGCAAAGAAAAAAATCTCATTTTCGAATAGCACTTTTTATAAACACACAGTGAAAAAAGCACCTTTAAGCACTTTTTAAAAACGCTACGCACCATAAATGTGTAGTATGCAAAACAGATGCACATAACAAGTGGAAAATTTTTCACCATTGTGGAAGATTCTATTATAATAAAAAATAAAGTGACTTAGATGTTATATATACAAAAAAAGTCAAGTAGAAGGTAAAACAAGGTAAAAACTAGTTTCATAATTTCAAAAAACCGCTAAATTTAAAGAAATATATACTGGTATGTATACTAGTCAATATAGAGTTTTATAAAAATTAAAACATTTATCAAAAACTCAGTGATTTCTTTTTAAAACAAATTTTGCAAAAATTAAGCAGTGAGGATAGGGTTGAAAATAAGTAGAAGAGTCAATAATTTACTTGCAAAAAGTTTATAAATTGAAACTTTGGGTTGGTAGAAAATTTTTAATTTTATCAGTCTGTGCTGAACTGTGCAGCACTGGAACTTATACAACATGAATGAGAATCAACATGAATGGAGAAGATAACTCCAAGTAATTTGGTCAGAAAGCATCTGCTCTAACATTTATTTATTTAAATTTTTTTTTTTTTTTCCTTTAACAAAAATTCCGTAAGCCAATTTTTATTTTTAACAATTTAAAGAAACTTCTGTATCACAAATATTAAATATATTTATCTACCCATAGCAGTTACCTTTCAGCATGGCCGTGGCGGTTATTTTAACACATAAAAAATGGCTGTTAATTTTTTCCCCTTAAAGCAAAATTATTTTTATATTATCATTTGCATCCTTTCTTTCTGATTTCTTTATAGGATTTCACAACCACACGATAAAATTTTCACAATTCACATACAAATTTAGATTTTTGAAGATGTTACTACAGATTGACTCTGTAAATTCTACTAACGAGTACATATATATGATTTGAAACATTTTCTGTACTGTGTATATCGTATTGTGATCCGTAAAGTTAAATGTAAAGATGGGAGAATTAATTTTAAACAAAACAGCTTCACATTTATGAATGTTGAGTTGTTTTGTTTGAAATTGATTCTCCTGTTTTAAACAAAACTAGTGATTCAGAGTAAATAACACATAAAGATAAAAAAAAAAGAAGTCAACAGTCTTTTAAAATTGCAACAACATAAAAACTCCTTAAAAAGTCAAACATACATTTACATAAAAATATGGAACAGTTATGATGTTGCCACTTTTAATTGGGGAAACAAAATATTTTTACTGTGTACTTATACAATCTTTTTTTTTATAACTGTTGTTGAACCTCCGACCCAATTTTATGGGTTCACGGCTATTTATGTTCAACTCCGTAGCCTTGTCTTTTTGAACCCAATGCAGCAGACAAGGGAACTTCTTGATCCAGTATTGGGAGAAATTTGACTGCGTGGAGGACTTTTTAATGGAACTAACTCTCATTTCGTTACACGGAGAGGAAAACCACGAGAACCTCCCATGGTTAGCCTGACAGCAAGGGGACTCCAACCCATGTTCCGTCTACCACTGAGGATATTTCACGGATATTATACGAATCTAGATATACTATATGTATATCAAAATTATAAAAAAGGTTAAGTAAGTCTCGAAGATTGCGTAAATTACGTATCACAATGTGTGATTTGTATATTGAATTGCCGTGTATGTTTCTGAAATCAGAACAATATGAATAGCAAATGATATGAAAAGCACAAACTAACAAGACGTAAATCACAAAGTGTGATACATACATCAATTTAATGTGAACTTTGTTGCGCGATTAGCTAATAGTTTTATATGAATAGTTATCATTATGACACAAATTGCAATTTGTGATTCGAAAGGTGCTTAATATAGAACAGCTATGTGCTATTCTTCAATCATTTTGATGAGAATTGTGAGTGGTAATTTTTAAATCTCTCTTTCGTGAATCACAATACGTGATTTTTAAACTACTAGAATAAGAATTGTGAGACAATATTCTGAAATTACTTAAATACGTATCACATTATATGGTTCAGAAATAACTTTAATTGAATTCACGATGTGTGATTGATAAATCCCTTTAATGTGAATCATGATGTGTGATTCATAAAATACTACAATACGAATCCTGATGAGTAATTTGCAAATCACTTTAAATTAATATTCAATATGTGATTCATTATTCATCTAAATCATAATTTGTAGAACATTTTATATGAATTCCAGTCCGTAAATCAAGACTCAGTTAAATGTGAATCACGCTGTTTATTCATAATCAATGAAACCTGTAGAACTAAATTTTATTTATAAGCAGTAAAAACGAAATGTAAAAATTTGATTATAAATGATAAAAAATTAATTATCCTTTGAACATAAATTAAAAGAACAAATAGAATAACAATATTAACCTGTAGTAATAATGAAGTTAACACACTGAACATATTTCTAAATCGATTAAGCACTACATATCATTTGAAAACTATAACTACAAAACCTACAGTTTGCTAGAAATTTCAGCTTTTAAAACATCAGACAGATGAACAATAATCTGGTGTGAGAAATCTAGGAGAGAAAAGTTTTGCATCTTCTTTAACCCCCCTTTCACTTCAAGCATTAAAAATTGCATCTATCAGAATTTCTATAATCTTCTTTATTTTTTTTTTTACTGCTTTTTTGTAAAAAAGATTAGAATTACTTTAAATCTTAAAAAATCAAGAACTTTTCAAGTACCCTATGGCAGAATTCAAGGATTTTCCAGGGCCTTGATTTTTTTCAACTAAATTCAAGGACTTTCAAGGTTTTTCAAATACCGTGGGAACCCTGTTATAATATCCTTCAGAGATAAACATTGACCAAAAGAATTGAATTTCAGTATTTTCTTTTCTTTTTTTTAAGTCAACTGGTTAAGATCAACTTTGAAAATGAGGTGTCACATATTTTCAGTACATGCGCCTGATATGAACAGATAGTTTGTAAAGACCATATAAAAATATTAACAAAAGCTATAAAACACAAACAGATAAAAAAGAAATACACACCTGTTGCCCAAATCCAAACAGAATCATGGACGTGTAAAAACATATGGACCAGAAGGAGGAAATACTGCGAACACCTTCGACAGCCAGAGCAGCTGGAAAAGCTTCAGTGGCAAGACGCAACACTTGATACCCACTTTGGTAAGTATGACTGTCACTGGGAATAGTGCTGATCCCTAAAAGAAGGCTCGTCACTGATACGTTGGAAAGGCGCCTTATTCCCGGATTCAAAACTTTCACAGAATTTTCTTCTTCTGCAAAAAAAAAAATTTATTTTAAAATACAAAATACTAAATGTTGGTTTAACAGATTAAATAATAGCTATTATTAGATCTATGTTCTATAAATACTGAGAGCGATAATACTGGGTGTTTTATAGTAACTGACCTTAATACATAATTTCATTATCCTTATCAAAAATAAAATTAAAATAATGTATATGATGATAAAAATAGTACACATAATATCCCGATAAAATTAGAAAAATAGAGAATAATTTAAGTTGGAATAGAAGTTTATTTTGAAACAAAACAAACAAAAATTAGTGCGAGACACAACTTTATCATTCTACATGCGTTCATGTGGGAGATTCTCTGAATATCCGTTTAAAAAAAAACAAAAGTGTAATTCATTTCCCATTTTGAAAAAATGCATGAAATGCATACGCAGTGTGAGTAGTCAGGTTTTTCAACAAAAAATAAGCACCTTTTAAGTACTTTTTAAGCACTCAAAAAATATTTTTAATTACTTTCCAAAAAAAAAAATCATGATTAAGATCTGTGCAGTAATAAAAAAAAATTTTGTCTATCGTTTAAAGTTCTTAATTCATAAACATAAAATCAAAAGAAAATCCAAAAACATTTTCAGAAACTTTACATAATCATGATAAAATAACTAGTTTCTGACAAATAATGCAGAGAAAATCGTGAAAAATCAAGCATTTTTGTAATTTAGAGCGACAACTGTCACTGCAAAAAAAAAAAAAATCTGATTTGAAAAGATAGAAAATTAAGCACTTTTTACAAACCCCAAATAAAAAAAACCCTTTAAGGGCTTTTAAGAAACTTAAATCAAAAATAAACACTTTTTTAAAATGCTAAGCACCGTGATGCACCAATGCATGAAAAGTAATTCAATGCATAAATTAAAGATGAAAGTGTACTGGTAAATAAATTTATAAATAAAACTCCCCAAAGAACAAATATAATTTCAGTCAGTTTTAGATTGATTACACATTAGATCGACACAATTTAATATTTAAGCATGGTAAAATACAAAGCAGTTCAAATATGAGGATTAAAGAAGACAGGTATTAAAAAACATCAGTTTTCTTGCAAAACAAAAAATAATAATAATTTGCTGTGATTGGTTTGCCAATATTTGTTTGGGAGTTTTGCTATTTGAGGGACTGCAGACGTCTTTTGTACAATTGTATATACGATGGTTGATGAATTTACATAGAGAAAAAAAAAAGAGTAAAAAAATGGTGTTCGCGAGTGAAACTGAAAGTAATGCAGATTATTTTTTTAGATTATGAAGATGTGATCATATACAAAGACTAATATTCAACTTTTTTCATTTGCCCGAGATAACTCAGGATAGTAAACTGATAGTAAATTAAATTTTTTTACACATAAAAAAATTAAATTTCAACTTAGAACTTGTGTATTATGTTTTGCTTTAGTACCTTGCATTTATTAATGATATAAAAAAATATGTTTATTTTTTGCACTTTTTTTTTAAAAATTGGTAATGGAAGCAGTTTAGCACAAAAAGATAAATCAAAAACAACAGATTACGCCCACACTGTGCAAAGCCACTGCAGACATTTTCCCAGCAAAACAATCCTATCTGGTAGCTAAACTTAATATATTATGTCAACTTAACGTGCAATTAAACATCTACATGTAATTACTTACCGTAAGAAGAAAAGGCTAAAGAAAGATTCCTTTTAAGCAACACATTCCCAGCACAAGCAAATAAAAACGAGGCACTAATCAGCACCACTATGGCAGTAACAACTACGGCAATTAATTGCCTAAAAAAGAAAAATAGAATCATCAATTTCAAGTAGAATCTACAAGTGAAAAATAATATAAAACAGAGTTGGCAAGGTTTAGGACAGAATGTCTATGTCATGTCTAAAACCCCTTTATTCAAATTATGTCACAATTTTTTACAAAAATATTGCGAAAAATAGAACATTCATTTTTGAACAAGAAACAGGTTATTAAAAAAGTTTATTATTATTTTTAATATTGCATTAATTTATCCTTATGCAAACACATAATTTATCAGCATTTAAAGCATATTCATTCATATTTAAGGGATAAGGTATTCACTTTTGTTGTTCAATGAATTGTAGAGCTTCAAAAGTTATAAATCTTTTCTTATTATGTTATATTATTTTCCTTTAATAACTTAAAGCAAATCGTATAAAAAGTATCAAATACTATTTATTAATGTATGTAATTACTATATGAACAATGGTTACACATATAGAATTTTTACCTTTCACTAATGTTGAAGGTTTTGAACACTTTAAGACAGTTTTCATCAGTTTAGGACAATAAAACCTGTCCTGTCCAAAACTATTTTAGGACGTCCAAAACCGAAACCCTGATATAAAACATAATTTCATTCATATGATAAACAGAAAATACTGCTACTTTAAAACTTAGTTGGTACTAGTATTTAGTTGCAAATACCTGCAAGATTCATAAATGTACAACCTTTAGCAATAATATTTTATTGGCATCTATTAAAGTCGATATGCTCTCCCCATGTGTTGCAAGATCTGCAAAAAGGTTACTTGGATGCCTTGTACAATATATGTTAAAAGCCTGTTTCTTTCTTTTACGTATAAACCTATTTTATGAAATTATGTTTTCATAAGATAGGTTTATGCTTAGGTTTACTCACATGTAAGGATAGGTTATGGTTATGGATAGGTTTACTCACATGTAAACCAAACAGACAGGGAAGAAATAGGCAATATAACACAAAAAAAAGTCTTTAACAGACTTATAATAACAAAACCTGCATTTAATATGAAAAAGAAGACTGCATGAGCGATATATGAAAGGGTTCTTAAGCAACAATTCATGAAAACAGTCTTCCGTTAGCTTGTAAAATCTGTATTTCTATGAAAGTAATCCCACAAGAGGGAGACTAAATATGCATTAAACTGAGAAAAGATTTTAAACTGATTTATTGTGAGATCGTGAAACTTGTATTTATAAGAAAGTAAAATCCAAACAGGTATTTATATGAAAGTAAACCCTACAAAGGAAGACTGCATGAACAATAAATGAAAAAGGTTCTTAAGCAACATTTCATGAAACAGTCTTCCGTTAGATTGTAAAACCTGTATTTCTTTGACTGTATTCCTTCCATCAGAATAGAATTCAAATTTCAAGATAGTACCTAAAATTTTAGATTGACATTTTTGTGTAAGAAAAAGTGACAAAAACTAAATGTTTTAGTAAATAGCTTATATTTTTTTTATTTTTTTTCTTGCTTAATTTTTAATTTTATCCTTAAGCCTTTGGAAAAACTTTTGCTTCTAAGACACAATTTTTTGAAAAAAATTTTTTCAGGAAAGATTATAAATTTTAATTTTATCCTCAGGTTTTAAGAAAAATTTTCATTTTATCTAAAATTTGTTTCATTTTTGAGGCATATGATCCAATTCATGGTAAAGCAAAACAGTTCATTAAAGCATACACTGACCCAACCACACAAAAAAATACCTAAATGGCTTAGAGATATCAATTTGTCATGTCATTATATTTTCGGATATTAATCCACAATTACGTAAAAAAGATATTCTGAGCATCATTCTAATTGTGAATTCAGTAAAAATACTAAAAAATCACATGTCTGTAAGCAGTCACTTTGTAATACTCACTTTGTAACATTAGTAGTAGCTTTGTTATGACTACAAATATGCAAAGCAACTGTCCCAAACAGTCCCCAAGTAATAAAAGCTTCTCTTGCAGCAAGCCACCATGCCTAGAAAAAGTTATTAGAAATCACTTTTAACAACTATACATTTGATATAATTTATATAATATTTGGTAAATTTTCAAATAAACAAATATATATTTATTGTTTAACAGGAAAAATAAATAAAAAAAATAAAGGTTATTTTCTCACTTTGTTAATCTTTGCATCCTTGAAGAATATTTTGAATTAAAATTTTTATTTTTATTTAATGGTATGTTTTGCTTAAAATACTCAAAAGGAGTAGAAAAAATATACATTAGACACATCTTGTACTTAAATCACATTTTTTTTAAAAATAAAACATAGGTAAAATATCATCACTGTCCCCAACACACATTTTTCAGTATTATGAAAGTGTAGACATAAATTCATATTCTGCTATAGCATGACTGTCTATTTGAATATTTATAATCAATATTTTTAGAATATGCATTACTTAGTATAAATTAGTGTAATCACTGTCTCAAGTATGAAAAGTGCCAATAAAACACTATTAATGATTAAATAAAATATAAATTCCAGATTACGAAGAACACTGTTCTCTACAGAACAGTTAAGTTTAATAGAAGTACCATTTCTGTTGGGTACAATTTTACATTAAAAAAATCTGCTTATTGAATTTAATTAAAAATGAGATTTTAAAAAAAAATGACATTGAAATTTAGTTTAACTTGCGTAGCTTTATTAAATTTTTTTAAAAAAATACTAAAACTACACAGCTGAACTTAAATATTAAAAACATACATCAAAGAAACTGATAAAGATGCTCAGTTATTCCACCAGACATTAAAAAGCTCAGGACCCAGAACTCCTAAAATTCTGAGTCTTTTTTTACTAAGTCCCTATTTAAAATATGAACTCTCAGCCTCTTCATCTATTAATATGTACATTATAATTTTTAATGTATAAATCTAGTATGTTATTTTTGTTTTCATGCTGGATAATTAAGTGTCACAATTTATTTTTTGCACTCCCTTTACTGTGTTTGTTAGGAATATTTGATGAGCAATAGAATGTAATCGGAATCATAGAAAGTTAAAAACATTTCAATATTAAAAATGTCCACTGAAGTACAAAAATGAATAGGCATAAAAAAGTTATGAAAGTTCGTAAAATAAAAATATAAAGAAACACATACTGAAGGATCTAATAAAACCCCTCTCCAGCGTAATGACAAGAGATCTGTAATTCCATCACCCCATTGCTGTCCCATACGCAAAGTCACCATCAGCAGCAGGGCAATTGGGAGCAAACCAAATACATAAACAACCTAAAAGATTTCGTCACTTTTTAAACAAGAGTGGTTAATAAACTACTGCATCACAGATCTTACTGAAACAATTTAAAATTTTAACTCATTTTGTTTATTCAGGGGTCTGTCAAGGCTTTTTTTAAGAGGTACCTATTTTGTGAAAATTTAATTTGTGAAAATTGAAAATTATATTAAAATATCAACACATAAATAAGGTAAAGGAATTAAATATTTTCAAAAATTGTCACAACTCAGGGGTGATTGTGAGCCCGAGTCGAAATTCTGGAAAATTTCTTTAGTAAAAAAAAAAGTTTAAATCGAAAAATTAGAAAAAAATTTAAACTTAAAAGATCTTTGTTATCGGAACACAGAACATGAGGCCAGAATTATGTTCCTAACAACAATTGAAGTACATGAAACACACAATCATTGTTAAAACGCAAGCCAGGGTCACCTTTGTTAGATACAAGCACTCATTTGTTTTCAATAATATAGCATATTTACATATAACAAAACAATTAATCATTTACACTTCTGTGGTTACATGTTCAAAAAATTCCAAATTTAATCCAGGCTTCAGACATCTTTAATTTTTAATCCACACTAATTTAATTTTTTTTTTTAATTTGTTAAATTGATTTAATTTTTTAAATATTTAAAAAAATTAAATTTTTAATTAATTTTTTCATTTACAATTTATTTTTAAATTTATAATTATATGTTATTAAACTTAAACAAGAAAAATTATAAAATCCTTACTTTTCCAAACGTCTTTGAACCACGACTCAAACAAATGAATATTATAATCCATACTAAACACAAATTAAATGCGACTTCAAACTTCAGCTCCCCAATTTGATATTCTCCTGCTTTTCTCCCAAGAACTCTTCCACTAAAGTAATAAAGAAATATAACTTAAAAACGCAACATAAAATATTAAATTCAATTTTTGACAGTCGCCGAAATAGTCGCAATGCAAGAATGTCAATGCAATTAAATATTAACTTTCATTGAAACAAAAAAGCTTCCATGGTAAATGATCTAATTAAAAACATATTAAAATTATCCGACACATTGCAATCTAGCAAACAGAGTAAAAAAACAACCAACAAAAGTAATACAACATAACTGTCTCTAATAAAAGCTTAATTGCTCTCGTATTACAGATAAGAGATGTCAAGGGCTATGTGTGAGCAGACTAGACCAGACTAGATTGCGCGGATTAACAACAATTAACAACATAAGTTAAATGTATGAGAACACGTCACCAAAAACGGGTTCCACAAAACCAAAGATCTAAACTTTTTTAAGATCGACCAAATTAAAAAAAATCTTTTAATATTTATTTATTTAATAATATTTTCCACTAATATAATTTTTTATAATGTAAGATTTATTAAAACTTTTTTAACATTTTTCTGGAAATCTTGAGATATAATTTAGCTGTAATGTATGACTAATTTTAGATTTAAACTTATACTTATTACATTACAAAACCAACAAACAAATTCATGATACCAATAAAATGGACTATTACAGTCTAGCATTAACATGTCTAGATTCTGTTGCAAGTTACGACCATTGCGGTACAGGATTTAAGTAATCATCCGCAACTGCATATAGTTCCGTTTTATTTCTTCATCAAATTATAAAAATATGCTTTCAAAACAATGTAAAAGCTTTTAAAAGTTAAACAAGTTAAGCAGAAATTTAAGTCATGCTATCATTTACAATTTATATAGCAGAATTATCAAAAAAAGGCTTATAGTTTCGAAGTCTTACTGGAATCCTAGATATGGCAAAATATTTCGATAAATAAGAAAAAGATCATTGCGGTGCAGGATTTACGTAACCATCCGCAACTGTATATAGTTCCGTTTTATTTCATCATCAATTTATAAAAATATGCTTTCAAAACAATGTAAAAGCTTTTAAAAGTTAAACAAGTTAAGCAGAAATTTAAGTCATGCTATAATTTACAATTTATATCGCAGAATTATCAAAAAAGGTTTATAGTTTTGAAGTCTTACTGGAATCCTAGATATGGCGATATATTTCGATAAATAAGAAAAACATTTGTTCTTGAAAAAAAATATATATACGATGTTGCAAAAACATTGGATTTGATTGGATCACTAAAATTGACATGTCTTATGCTGACATGCCCTTAACAACCCTTAAGAGAACAAGCAAGCAAAAAGAAGTTTGTGCAATGTAGCTTCAAAAATTATCGAATGTTAATATACGAAAACTTGGCATCATTTTGGCATACACTTACAAGCTCTCTCCATAGGGAAATTGGTTTTTTTATCTTGGTTTTTTAATGCAATGGTTTTTAAATATTAATTATAGGATAATTACTGCTCTGAAAGAAAATTTTAATATAAAATTAGGGAAGTCTATTGATAGTAAAAGGATTAAAAATAACTAAACTTACTGGAAATAGGATGAAACAGACCAGCCATAGAAATCAGCTGAAGATGTATTTAAAGCTCGTAAACAGCCTAAAAATATAATCAAAATAAATCATTCAAGAATTTTTACAATTCTATAAAATTTTAAATCAATTTTTGAATAATAATTAAATTCCATTTTTTTTTCACCATTAAAACTAAGATTTTTTCATTGTAAACTACTTTACAGTAACATTTAAGAAATTTCAGCTTTAAGAAATCTTATTGACTTTAGATCATATAAAAAATTACTTACTATTGCTTTAAATATGAAGCATCCAAATATATAGATATTTTATTTATTTGGTTTTTAAAAATGGTTTCAATATAAATAAATTATAATTAAACTATGTTCACTGTCTAACTATTCATTCTTTCATTCATCAATAGCTCCACAGTCCTTGATGGGCCCTGGCTTTCTCAAGAAGACGAGACCAGTTCTTCTTGCGTGCCACAGCCATCTAGTCTCGGGCATTAATTGAGGCAAAGTCACTTTAGAGACAATCTGACCACCTCAATTTGGGTCTGCATCTTCTTCTAGCTCCTATTGGCCTTGCCTGAAAGATTTTTTTCGTCGTTCGATCATCATTCATTCTTAAAATGTGTCCAGCCCATTTCATACATTGGACCTTATGATACTTCAGAATGTCTGTTAAAGTTCAGAGTCCGATAGTTCTACAAACTCCATTGTCACAAAAGCCACTAAAAATTTATCCGAGAATCTTCCTCTCAAGATTGCGAGAGTTCTCTCATGAGCCTGTGACAAAGTCCTCAATCTAACTCTATTTCTCTGAAATTGCAATCGATTGGTTCAAATGCAAAATGTAGCTCAACAAATGTTACTTTTTCTCAATCATTATTTAAAAAAGATAGTCTGTATCAAAGCTAACTAGCGGCTTAACACAAAATTATACAACCAAACCTCGAATGGTTTATAACAGTTCAAAAGAAAGAATACAGCCAATAACTATAAAAATTGAAAAGAAATCCAAATCTTAGCTATGAAAAGATTTTAATTTTTGAGAGAAAAAAAAATTTTAAGATATTACAACATGCTTTTAATAGACAAAAAAATTCTTAATGTAGAATTTTTGTGATACTTAATAATTGTTAATTTTTTTTTTTTTTTTACAATATTTGCAGAGTCACAATGTTTTTTATAGTGATATACTATACTAAATTATTTACAGTTAAAATTATAAACTAGCCATAGTGCTTTCAAGCGAATGTAAAGGTGAACCAGTTGTTGTTGTACTTAAAACTGCAGATGTAATTAATTAATGTTTTTTAGTACATAAGGGTCAAAATAAACTTCCATATAACAGGAGTATACAATCTGTAGCTAACGCCAAAAAGGAGCCCTTGAACAATCGATGCGTGACCCAACCTAACCTTTGACCGAAGAAAATATTAAAAAACTACATTACAACTTACATAAAAGTAGTTGATGATTGTTCTCATTAACTTTTTTAAAATCATTAAAATTCCAAATTGTAAATTTGAGCATCAAAAAAATCCAAATTAAATTGCTAAATTTTAAAAAAAAAATCAAACATTTTCATCAAAACATGTTTAACATTTAAAGGATTTAACAGTTATTCAAAACAGACAATACAAATAGTTTAAATATGATAAAAAATCAAAATTTGCAATAATTCAATTTTATTGCAAGCAAACTTTTCTAGAAAATAGTAAAGTTATTCTCAACTGATATAAAATAAAAAGATAACAAAGATTTACTGTATTTTTCAAAAAATTATATTTTACAATGACCATCTTTAAAAAAAAAAAAAAAAAAAAAAAAAGGTTATATACTCCTGTCATATATATATATTAATATTACTCCAATAATTAGGACACAAAACTAAATATTCAGTTCAACAAAACAAAAATTAAAACACTACTTCAAAATATAATAAGTACAATAAGTAAATGTTAATGACAAAATACTTTAATATCATACCACAAAGCAAAACAATGCAGAAAAACAATGTTTATATACCTCAAACAGGCTATAAATTCATAAAATAATCATTATCGGTAAAACTAATTACTCCCTTTACCAGAACTTTAAATGGCATTTCTTTCTCTTACAAGAGAAACAAATGCTATTGAAAATTTTAAAAAAAGTTAATGTCCCTAAATTATAACATAAAATTTTTTTGGTATTTAAAACTAAATAATTTTGAGCCAAATCAGTCTCTAACTTTATTAAATTATTATTATTCAAAATAGATACATGTTTTGTCAAAAATAAACTTTTGAATTAGAAATAAAAGGCGAGAAAAATTTTATTGCAAGCAAGTTTTTTTCAGTAAGAAATTAAATTTTACATTCAAAAGGTAACAGATCAAATAAAAAAAAAATAAGAGTAGTTACTATTTCTTCCAAAACTTACATGGCATTTCCCCCACTTATAAGTCTTTGAGAGTAATGAAGGAATCTTTGAAGTAAATTTTAAAATTTAACATTCAAAAAGTAACAGATTAAATAAAAAGTAAAAGTAGTTACTATTTCTTCCAAAATTTAAAAAGCATTTCTCTCACTTATAAGAGTCTTTGAGAGTAATGAAGGAATCTTTGAAGTAAATTTTTAAATTTAACATTCAAAAGGTAACAGATCATATAAAAAAATAAGAGTAGTTACTATTTCTTCCAAAACTTAAATGGCATTTCCCCCACTTATAAGAGTCTTTGAGAGTAATGAAGGAATCTTTGAAGTAAATAAACAACCAGGACAAAGGAACAGCATTGTATATTCCCAACATAATGTAGAGATACATCATAGCAAAACCCAATCCTATAAGAAAAAAATTAAATAAATTTTAAAAAACGTGCTAATAATTAAAACATTATTAATAATATTAAATCATCTCAAATTAATAACAATTATTCATGTCACATACTTAATTTTACAAAAAACAAGCCAAGTAATAAATGACATTTGATAAACTGTACTGTACAATATAGGATTCCATATCCAGGAGACAATTTATGCAGTTTTAATAATTAAAGGAATTTTTAACTAAAAAAAAACTGAAAGAATTTAAACAACTAAAATTGACTCATGGTGCGCAGCCAAATCTTTCAACAAAAATAAGCACCTTTTTAAGCACTTAAAAATATTTTTAAGCACTATGTACGTTAACAAAATGCAAAATAATTTTCAAAGACTTTACATGATCATGATAGAATAACTAGTTTCTGACAAAACACTACTTTCTTGATTATATTAGCCATTATAAAATGATTGAGATTTTTCGATTCAATATCAGAGGGTGGAAAATGAAGCCTGAAATTGAGAATATCTTGCAAAACGCAGCAGAGTTGCACATGAGAATGCAATAATCTCATCGAACCCAGCTCAGTAGAGTAGACGCAGATGCGGACTCGCAAGTATTTAATCAAACATGCAAAATGAATGGTGCTTTCATACGCTATGGATCAATGGTTATGGATGAATGGGTTGTGGTTGAATGAATTGTGAAAACGTTGAATCGAACAATGTGAAAAGCACGCCTTTGCATAATACGTGGCGAAAATCAACAAGGTAAAAAAAATCTCATTTCCGGAAAGGGAAAATCAAACACTTTTTAAAACCACCCAACGAAAAAAGCACCTTTAAGGGCTTTTAAAAAGCGAAAATCAAAAATAAGCACCTTTAAGCACTTTTTAAAAATGCACCATGGATAAATATGCAAATACAATAAAGATATCCAAGAATGAAGTGTGCATCAATTTTTAATGCTAGTCACCTATTTCTCGCACACTACTAAGTGTTTCATTAACTGAATGATTAGTTAGGTACAACTTAATGTCTTTTGTTGCTTTTAATTATTTATTATTTTTTAATTTTTGTTTTTTAATACAACTGGAGTATTTTGGTTGCTAACAAGAAACAAATTCAGTCTTTTCTCAGGGGCTAAGTAAGACTAATATATAAAAATTATTTGGCACGAAAACCTTTACCTTTAAAAGCTGGCGATATGTACCACATGTCTAGCATTCCTGCTCCTAGATATTGACCAAGAGACATCTGCATGTAGAGGATAGGAATACCAATTAAGATGGATAGGAGGAGGAACTGAAATATGAAACATCCTGAAAAAAAAAATTTATTATGTTATCGTAAAATCAAATTAATGAAATCACAAAAAATAACACTGGCATTGGGAACAGTGGGTATCTGTTTCTCTCACTAATAAGAAATCTCTAAAAGTCTCCCTTAATATTTTAAACAGGTAAAGAAAATTTAAATAAATCACCATCGATTTCATTTCAGCTAAGTTAAGAAAAATTAAACTTTTTGCAAACATTTAGCAGAAGAAAAATTAATTTTATGGGTAGAATTAAGATTTCTAAAAAATTTTTCTCTGTGTTGAATTATTAAATGCATATCATGTTAAATTATTAAATCTTGGTCAAATTTTTTTAGGTAGCATAATTTATACAGAAATGAGTTTAAATTTTTATAATTAAAAACATTACACTTTGAATATAAAAGACAAAATTTATTCATTGTTTTCTTTATGCCTCAATTTAATTTTCAATTAAAATTACATAAATTTAAATTAGTAATATGAGACCAATATAATAAAAATATATATTATCAATATCAAAGAATATATATTAGTAATATGAGACTAAGAAAATTCTTACTAATGTAATAGAATTAACAACTTTTAAATTCTTTCATGTATACTGCAGTTTTTCACACAAATACATTCTGAAACTAAATACAAGTTCAAGATAAAGTAGGGACACTATAACAGTTACATAAATACTTCAAATTAAAAAAAAAATTTATAAGAAAAAAGTAGCTTTTTAATAATTAGTAATGCGTTTTAATAAGAAAATTTAAAAATCAAACTAAAGAAAAATGATTCATTCATGTTTGATATCACTACTAAAAAAAACCAACAATTTATGCCCTTACAAATATAGGAAATTATCTTTCAAAAGAATTNTATAGGAAATTATCTTTCAAAAAAAATTTTTTTTTTGAATTTTGAACATATCATTCAGATCCTGTAATATACACAAACCAATGAATCCCAGATACCAGGTCACCTTGAGAAATTACCTCGGTGACTAACCTTTTCGACATATTATTCTACGACTCATTATTTATTATATGCAGGAAGATTCCCTAGGGAAAAAAAATCAAAACTAATTCTTTTTTATTGTTTTAAAATTGAATCAATTGATATATTGTAATTGAATGCTAAAACTTAAAAAAAAAGGCTTATCATCTATTTAATGCTTGTATTAAAGGAAAGTTAATTTATCTACTGCTTTAGAGTTTATTTTATAAGAATAACAATTTAAAAGATTTACAATCTACTTAAAATTCTAACTCAATTTGATTTTTTAAAGGAATATATAGCTCCTTTGCTGTGAAAAGACACACATATGACCCAATTATTAAAAAATAGGCAAATTTGTCCATGAGAAACTAGTTTCTAATTTTGCATCAAATGCGACAGTCACTCCTAAAGATAGATCCAAGGAATTTTTCCGTTTCTCCTAAAATTTTACAACTTCTGTCAGTCCCCGATTAAATGATTCACATATAAACCTGTAATAAATACAGGGTATCTGCTACATTTTAGATTTTCAAATTCATGCCTAATTCCAAGAATTTTTCATGACTTAACGAAGTTACAATTTTCTCCGACAAAAACACAGCAATAAATTTAAAAAAGCATTATATAATAACATTAATTTAAATGATAGGTATAACCAAAACTATTATACTCTGCATCTTCATATTATAGATTTTAAATTTAAAAAACAGAGTAAAGAAAGAGTAGAAGCAGTGAAGTAGCTGAAAAAAATACAAAAGCAAATAATTTTTTTTCTTTTTTTCTGCAAAATTATATTATAAAGATACTTTTCTTTTTTATCGGAAAGGAAAGAAATACTCCTGATTTTCCTATTCTCATTTCAGAATTTAAAAAACTCGCCAAGAACTGGCTTGCTTCAGCTAGAGTATTAAATTGATAAAATAAAATAAATAAGTAATAAAAATTCTGAAATCACAGAAGCTTAAAAGATAATTTGCTCTAGAAATAATGTTTTTTCTTTCATCTTTTGAAAGAACACCATAATTTTTAAAGAACATGATAAAAAAAATTTACATTTTAATAAAATATGACTGTGAGGGGGGGGGAGCTTTTGTTACAAATTCAGATATTCGGAACACCATGAAATTGGGGGGGGGATCCATTTTAAAAATTAAGATTTTTCGGTAACCTAAACCCATGACTTCCCATGATTTTTTTTTTAAATAGTTAAAATCATGACATTTTGTGACAAATTTTGTTCAATACCGAAATTTGTGAATTTCCACGGTTTCTCATGACTTTCCAGGTGCGCAGATACCCTGTAAATAGAGTAGTAGAATGATAATTCCGTCTACAAATATTACCTTTATATACATTCACAAGCATGGAGAACCTGCTCACATTGCTGACACTTATAACACAACAAAGACAAGCAAACATTGAAGAAGCTTTATGAGGCCATTTTTGTGGCCTCAATCTTTGCGAAGTCACATTATTATTGGTAACACTGTTTCTAGTTCGTGGCGTGCGACTCGATCGAGCATTTCTATGCACATCGGATGTCGACACAGATGAGTTCCTGTGGGTATTAATAACACTGTTCACTATAGGACTTGAAATACTGGGATCATTTGCAACACTTTCATAAGGTGGTGGTTCAACTCGTGGTGGTACTGGAGGGGCCCTAGAGGATTCTGTCCTAGTAGAGGATTCTCCGGATTCAGTCACACGCTGAGCTGCTTCATGGGGATTTCCCATCACCAGCTGCCAAGAATCAAGGGATCGGGATGGTTGAGTAACGACACCTTCCAATAGTGGCCATACATAGCTTACATCCCACCCCCACATACAGATGAAGGATTAAGGAACAAAATCTGAAAAATAAATAAAAACAATTTAGAATTAAATTTCAAATACATAAGTTAGAACAAAAATCACTTTTGAGACACAGAAAAAAGTAAACTAATCCTCCAATAGCCAGTTGCCTGACAAAGGGGTTGTAGGGGTTAAAAATTTACAATATTTAGAAGGTGACAATGTAACTTTTGTGAAAGAAACAGCTTTTACTTCTCTGACACAAAGGTGCTGATCAATTTGAAGCTGGATAAGGCACCAAAGGTGATAAAACCAAGGCTCGAAACTAAGCATGGTGCATTGGTCCAAGACACTAATTTACAACCTCACTCTATTTTTTGGAAAATTTCCTCTTAACTGTAGTTTGTCCCAATAATGATGCAAGTTTTTATTTCTTTAAAAATTATTTACCTGAACTAAAAAAATCAATAATCAATTTTTTTTTAGAAAATGCCAAATAGGAGAACAGGATAGTAAAAGGCCGCTGGGTCACATCTAGGACCACTAAATTTTATTTGGACCACTAGGTGTGTCGATCTAATCATTTCAACTAAAAAATACTAATAAAATGTTAGTTAAAATTATACTTCCAATATAAATTAATTATATCCTCCTGCATTTAAAAACAATATTTTTTCTCTTCCTTTCTGGAAAAAAAAGTACTTTAGATGTTAAATTAGATGTAGATTTTAGAATACTACATCTAATTTTACTCATGGTAGGCAACAACCATGATTTAAAAAAAAATAATAATAAAATAAGTAAATAAATTGGATATTTCTTTATTTAAGATTTTTTTTCCCTTTTTTTTACATTTAACCATAGCTCTGTTAAATTTTTGACAATACTTAATATTATACATATGCTCAAAGTTAGCAAAAATCATGATTTTTTTTTAAAAAAAATAAATAAAATTGACATTTTTTTTTATTTATATCTTCACATTTACTAATCAGACCCCAGATAAAATGTATTGACAATGCTCAATATATATATAGAGAAAAAAAATCAAGTTTCTTTTTAAATAACTAAAATAAAATCGACATTTTTAATTTATTTTAATCAGTTTTTTTTCCACATTTACTGATCAGAACTCTGATAAAATGTATTGACAATGCTTAATATTATATAATTGCAATATTTTAACAAAAGTATTTATTATTCCTACGCTTAAAATTGTTGCATAATTAGTATTAAAACTAATAACTGAATAAATTAAATTGGGATTCTTTTTTATTTAAGCTGAACATCCTCATGAATTTGCAAACACAAAGACCTAATTTGTCAATTAAATATCAAGACTAAATGTAGAATTGAAAAATAAATGTAGATAAGAAAACCTTAAAAAACAATTATTCTTAGTTATTCTTAAATGAGACAAATCTTTTTTCATTATTTATATTGATTAATACAAATTTAATGAGTTTTAAAAGTACTTTGAATAGAAAAATTGTTTCATGTAACTTCCATTCACAGTAACTTTTTTTTATCTATTAATTGACTTTGGAAGTCGAACATTTATTTATATATACATTTCCCTCTTGTTATTTCTCTTGTTAAAATCTTCAACATCAGGAGTCAAGATTCAAGAATCAGATTTTAAAAACATCACATCTTAAATGAAACATTGCCTTGAAAACCCTTTTTTTGTATCAAATCAAGTAATTCGTGTTCTATTAATTTGAATGAACCAGTCACAAATAAAAATAAAATACAAAGATTATCTTCCAACAATTATATATGACCACCAAAATATTAATTTTTGTTCAGATGTTTTATATATTTTTTTAAAAAAAATATCAAGCGAATAATATTAAATAATTATTCGTATAAGATACTAAATTTAAAAAGAATAAAGGAACGCTGCTTTTGAAATCTATAATTAAACTTAAATGGTATCTATTATTAAACTCATGGTATTTGCACCGAAATACTGGATAAAACTAGCGTGAATGAAAGTTTTTCAGAACAAAATTATCACTTAATGCTCATGCAAATTTTAAATTTTAGAAACATTAAATGAACATTTGAAAACTGAATTCACTACAAGTTAAAAAATGAAAATTTGCGCGAACAGTAATCAATATTGTGCACAACATTCGTATATACAAATAATGTATCGTATATGAAATAAAAAAACAGTACTTAAAAAAATCAAGTTAGGAGGTGTAGGCATATTAAAAATTGACGCGCAGATAGTCATTTTAGACAGAAAAGTATTTGCTTAACAGAGATTGAAGATTACAGCAATATTCCTAAAGTTATCAGCAGAAATTTAAATTCGAAAAGTTAAAAAATATAATTTCAAAAAGAGGACAATAGCAAAATCCAAATCTAATCAAAGTCAATGGGGGCCGTTCAAAAAGTACGTACATCCCGAAGGGGGGGAGGGGATTTGCTATTATGTACGGTTTTGTACGATGGGGAGGGGGGGAGGTTTTATACAAAGTACGTACTTTATAAACATACACCAAATTTAAATTTGACTTTATCCTACACACTCCTTAAGTAAATATTTAATTTTATTTAAAACATAATTATTTTAATTTTTATGAAAAAGGGGGGTAGACTAATAAAATGTACATACTCTAAGGGGGGGGGGAGTAAGACCTTATGTACGGTAATGTACGAAGGGGGGGGAGGGGTTTGAAATTTCTCCATTTTTGTGTACGTACTTTTTGAACGGCCCCATGCAACAACATTAAGAGAAACCGGCATTAATCAACAAAGGGTTCATTTTTCCCGCAAATAGATGATGCCATATTGAGAAAAATAAAAGGGAAATGCTATGGACCGTTCTCACTGTAAGCAATACACGCACCTTGCATCAACATCGATAGAAAAAGAGAACCTGCTGATTGGTTTCGTTTTTTTCGCGGAAGAATTTATTGCTCCAATCAAGCGATCGGGTGTGCGTTAATCTTGTTCGACGTTAAAAGACATTTCCACCGTTAATTTTGTTGGGTAAGCTGCCTTCCACCAATCACAATTTTATTCTTTCGTTCTATCTCAAAATGTGCTGGCAGATTTACTAAACAACATAGATGATATAAATGAATTCTCAAAAAAAATTATTGATAAAAAGTATAGTATTGTTTATAAATAATGCGAAAATGCAGCAACAGAGCAACATAAATAAAAAGAGAAAACTATCCCTTTCTTTTCCCCTAACTCCAGCAGTTGAGGAAAGAGGTGGATGCAAATCCGTTTCAGAAAAATCCTCTGTTGCTGTGCCCCTAAATGTTGTTATTCTTTTCTTTACACGCACAGCCGGTGCCAACTCCTTAGGGGGGACCGGCATATAATCTGTCTATGGAAAAGAACTACCCTCGACATTCGTCTGGAGCAGTGGCAATGACTATGGTTACGAGGTTTAACTATTTCATGTGAGGATGTTAAGAGCAGTGCCGTTACTTCACCCTTCGGGGCCCTGGGGCTCAAATTTTTGCCGGGGCCCTTTTTAAAACTTTGTGTACTCCATCTCTAATCGTCATTTTAGCTATTTATGTATCATGTTGATTAATATATTTACGAAAATAACCCACTTGTTCCCATAGAAATGGGATTAGAAAATATTGTAAGTTGTAAATTTAACACTAGAATGTAAAATGTTATATTTAAAAAAATTAATTTTTAATTACAAAACACAAATAAGTGTTTAAGACTTCAAGACATCTAAAAATAATTAAAAAACGCATACTAAATACAGATTTTAAATGTATTTAATGGTTCTAGTTTGGTAGATAGATTTATACACTTAAGTTTGTTGAGAAAGATTATAATACATCAGTTTGCATTAAAATAAATGTCTAGAATAAAGATTTCATATTTAAAATTTTAGATTATTTTCAGTTTTTGAAAAATATTTAAAGTAAATTGTAAAATAGAT